TGGGCAAGTATATAGTATCCTCTTAGCATCTGGCCAGGCCTGCTTTTAAACTTGTATGCTTCAAAACAGTTAAAATCCATTTAAAAGAAAACCAAACGCACACCACAAGTTTACAAAACGCACACATTGTACCTGACAGTCTTTTTCTTAGCCTGTGAGGGGTGGTGGAGATAAATTCATTTTTTCTTCCCTGAGTGGAAAACAAATAAAGAAGTTATGCCATGAGTTATATACCATCTTAAAGATCTAATCGAGACACAATCAAAAGAAATCAATAAGCATTACAGGTTTATCCATCCTATAGTTAGACCTGACTGTAGACTTCCACTCTATGTTTTGAGGCTGTCTATTACCACACTCTTCAAATCAGCACATACATCCATCAAAAATATAAAAAGATCTCGGCGTTGGGATATCTGTCATCTCTGGGCCAGCATCTTCGTCTCAGATGTAGAAGCTGGCCTTAGATGATGACTGAGCAAATATGGTACCAGCAGTGTGGGGAGAAAGGAAGATGAAAGAATGGTCATGAGGAACAGTAGTTGGCCATACACTGAAGTGAATTTCTGCTGGTTCTTAATCAACTGGGCGAAATTCACAGTGGGCTCCCCTAACAGCAGCATGCCAGCCACTGTCAGACTACAAAGAATACAGCGAGAGATTCCTCCATCCACTTTGTTTAGTGTGGATGGAGAAATCAGTTTTGTTTTTTTTTGCTCAGCCCGCAGGTTGGACGAAAACAAATATAACAGTGTATGTTTAGGATCCCCTTAGCATTCATACATGTATTATAAAATAATATACTAAGCTCTTATGTAGATAACCCTATCAGGGGGTCTACAATATCTTTCTAGCATTAAAGTGCAACTGAAGCCATAACCTTTTTTTTGGTTTTGAGGGATAAATACACCTGTCAGGTTTTTATTGCTGTCTGTGTCTCTGTTAGGGAGATTCACCCTCTCTGATCACTGTCATCACTGAAAATAGAAGAAAATCCTGAAATCTGGAATATGAATAGATGGGAAATCTTCTATGGGGACACTAATTCTGGTGACCCCGCTGACCTCCAGGGTTTTTCCTCTCTCTTCCTGTTGTGGACATTGGACTGGAAGTGAAGAGAAATCTCTGGGACAGAGATAGCAAAAAAAAAACAAAAACCCAAAAACTGAATTTCTAACCCTCGCTTACTCTATCCCAAAAAAAAGTTTTGGCTTCAGCTCTACTCTAAACACCCAGCCTCAGAAATCGAATGCAGAATGCATTAGGGTCTGCCTAGTAAGAGAGATGTGCTGGGCGCCCCCACCAGGGCATAAATGTGGCTAGAATGAAGGCATCTTTCACCTAAATCCCTCCCTTAACCCTCTTCGCTGCCTACGCCTAATATTTTTTGCACATAATAAAATGCACATGTTTTGTCTTCAGCTTATTTAAAATCTCCCAAACATAAAGGGTGACGCTCTATATTAAAATGCTGGCAGTTGCAATTGTTTATATAACACGATAATTACGCTACTGTGTATCAAATCTATATTTATTTTCAGTAAAAAAATACACTCAAATTAATTTTAGTGCACAAAATTATAGAATACAAATCTGCGTTCTATCAGCTTCTTTCATGGCAACAGCAGCCGGGGTTTGACAGCTCTGAATCTGCAAAGTGCGCATACCTCAGGACTTCTGGGTTTCTACTAACCAGGGGAGATCAGTGAACGGTTGACAGGAGAGGAAAGGGGGATTACCAGGCAAGTGATCAGACAGCTTAATCACTGCTACTAGAAAGCTGGCAGCCAGGGATAAAAATATGGAAAAATTCCCTGTTTCCCGGCATAACAGTTACGGCAGCAGAAGCAAAAGTTAAAGTGCAGGCAGAAATAAAGTGCAATAAATGAGAGCAGTTATTAGCAAGGAAAACTTTGACTTACCTTAGAAGGAGTTTTAGTTGCTGCGGATTGCTCTGTTAAATAAAACAATTAGAATTAGTTGATTAGCACGTATACTGCAGCAAGTTTGTTAACATTTGATATGGCAAAACATACTCTTGTTGTTTGGGGGTGGGCTGACAGCTTCCTCAGGACTATCTCCTGTTGAAAAGGTGACGGTTTTCCCAGGAGTTCTGGCCATCTCAGAGGCTAATAAATACATAAAAGAGCAAGGTTACAAGAAACACTTTTCAATTCATTCAATCATTTAAACTGAAATTCCACTTTTAAAGGGAGCAAAACAAATGTTCAGAACATCATTAAATACAATGAAAGAAATGTGGCAATCTACATTGACTCTTTATCTACTTCTGCTCTGGATATTCAAACAGCTCTAACCACTAATGTACTGATAAGTCTTCTTTTACAGGATGTGCTGACTTACTTTTAAAGTGACCTTGTGGGTAAATGTCTTGAGCTGAATTACTAAAAGAATTTAAACTCTTCACACAATAAAATTGAATGAATAATCACTTCATCAGTCATCCAATCAAATGACGTGCAAACAATTGCAAAGGCCTGGCTGTCCCCTGTATTGAGGCTATCTGAGGTGAAAACTCGTCTACACACAGTGTTTGTGCACGAAAAATCCACTGCGCAGCTCCAAGACACGATGAACAAATTTGAAAGAATATGGGATCCGTGGATCCGGAAATGTCTCCCAACCTGTTTTGATCCTGCCTGAAATAACGCCATCACTTTTGACCTGGCCTCTTCACATTTTACTACAGATAGCATTTCTCTAGACCTGTTTACCCCTCCTCATTCTCCTTCTCATCCTTTACCCTTTTTCTTCACCTGACTCTATTCTAGTCTTTCCTTTTTCTTCCAATCCGATTACGATAATTTTCTTGTTGCATGATTTGCGACTGTATTTTGGCTGTCGGCTCTATGTAAGACGCTTAGAACACCAGTATACATGAATATATTCTCTGCCTCAGATATAATCTGTAGTTTGTTCTCCAACATCTTGCTGTCTTTAACATTTACTGGTTTACCAAAATGCTGTACACATACATATATATAACTATGATCTGTATAATACTGTCTTATTCGGATTTTGTATTCTGAAAACTATCAATAAATATGAATTTACAAAAAAAAAAGTTACCAAACAAATTAAATGACGTGCAGATGAAATAAGTAAACAGGAATTAGTTTTCACGAGATTGGATAATTGAAGTGAATATTCATACAATGTATTGTGTGAATATTCTCAACTCCTTTAGTAAATTAGCCTCAACAGTCTACAGAGCACCCGGTGTTGTCATATTTGCAAGGAAGGGAAGTTATATTGTCTCATAGCTAACTTCAAGTTGCAATTGTAATTATATGCATTACGTCAATATTTAAACACAGTTGTTTTTTATTTAATTTGTTTTCATAAGCACCTATTTTGAGTTTTTGGTTTGTGACAGAGTGGTTTAAAGGGTCATTCCCTCCATAAATTATATTTCAGTTTTTGGTAGGTGCCGTAGAGTTTAACCACCAGACAATTTCTTCTATGGGATTCTGTTTGTGAGATTTCTTTGCTTGAGTTTCTGGGTCTGCCCACCTGCCGTGACTTCTATGAGTGGGTCCCATTCTCCCTGTTTGGAATCTTTATTTATTTTATATAATGGGCAATGCAAGAGAAGTTGGACATTCAGAGGGAGGGGAGAATGACAAACTCTGGGTGGATGGAAGCAGAGTTAGGAATTGTGACAGAGAAGTCTCACTGTAGGAATAACCAAGAAATAATAACCCAGGCTCCACTTGTAACAAAAATATCAGGGTGGGCTGACCCTTAAAATGTATGTGTTTATGTAATCCATGGGCCACAACTCAAGACCCCATGCCTGTCCCCTGGCTTTGCAGCTCCCAGAGACGATGCCTGGTCAAGGAGAAGCACTACACGGGAGGGAAACTGGCCTTCGGAACCCTGCTTCTCCTGGGGAGGTCTTGGTTCCCTGGGATCATGAAGCTGAGGACAGGGCCCCAGAATGCAAAGTCACCTGTCTGAAAGGTGGCCCAGGGACCATAAAGAAAAGGGCTCTGCATCACCACCCAAACCATGGAGGTAAGCAGTCAAAAGAAAAGATAGATGGCAGGGGACATCCCACAAGAGACCTTCCCTTCTCCACCCTGTATTCCAGCAGAAACTTTCTGTCCAAAGAAAGAAAAACAAATATTGACCAATTTGGAAGAAGAAGGTCCTTTTTAAAATGGTTTTTGTTGATGTGTTTCCTGTTCTGGTTGGAGGAGGAGCCTATCTCTCATGTGCTGTCTTGGAAGACAATTTGGGAAGAATAGGTTATCTAAGCAAAATGACACTGTGGGCTTCTTCTGTCCTACTTCAAGACATGCTACAGATGTCTCCTCTAGAAAAACAATGAAAGTACTGAAAATGCTTTACCGAGCTGAGCCATCTTGTTTGAGCGTTTAGTAGTCTGGAAAACGTAGACATCACCTCCTCCAGTCACAGGGCCATTTTCCAAATTATCTGCATTAGGAAATAAATAAGACATTATAAAAGCGACAATAATAAAGAACAACAAGCAAATGGTATTCACCAACATTTAAGGAACCTACCTTCAGAATTTACTCCTAACACATTCACATAGTCCTTTTCCTTCCACATTTCCACATCCCCACTCTCGGTATACAGCTCGCTGACATTCTTAGTCAAGCTTTTTGCATTTGCGATTTTCTGTATAGTGCTGCTCCTTAGCCTTCCTCCTAAAATGACAACAGTAATGACAATGATTTTTTTTTGCAGAGGAAAGACAAACCGAAGGGATAATGTTTAGACTGCCGTCACAGCTAACGTTCAAAGTGATAAGCTGATAAACGCAACTTCCATACGTATATACGGATGTATAATGTCTCAAAGGAGCTTAAGTAAAAGTGTCGCACATAAGAGCTACCTGAATTTGTTGCATGCATCAGAAATACCAAGAAAACTGTTATATGGCTTTCATGATTTTGGTGCAGGACTTTGTAACACAGCCATAACCTCAGAAAGTGTTGCAAATACTTTATTGAATTCCATTATCTCCCAACCGGTTTGTTTATGAGCATTTACAGTGATGTTATATTGGAGGTGTTGAACTTGGTACTGGGCTCAGCATGGTGCCATGGTATACTGAGTACATGGTGCCAGCCTATGTACTGTTACAGAATACTATTTGACTGTATGCGGAATTTGATGAACTGCTTGCAACTATTGGATCATCAGAATTCTTCCTGGTAATGACTAGGAAGATTACATTTCACTTTAATGAATTGCATTAGTATGGTGAAATGTTAGTACACGAATATATATATATATAGATACACATATATATGAATGTACAAACTTTTCTTGTTTCTTCCAAAATTAAAGAGCTGCCAGCATAACCACACTGTAATATACATTGATAACTAAATATGAATTACACAGCAGGGACTCTGTTATTAGCATGTGCAGCTTTGAAAACCAAGCCTCCTCTTCATTTGGCCTCTTACATCAGAGGTGTCTATAGCTCCTGTGATTAATAACTACACAGTGAGAATTCAAATGACTGCAATTAGTAGAAACATTGAAAGTTGGCTCCTTCTGCTGGAAATCAGTCTCCACAATCCCAAGAAAGAGAAGTCAGTAGATGTCTACAGTAAATGTTCATAATCCAAGGCATGCATGGCTCAAACTACCGACACACCACTAGGCTAGTAAATGTAAATAAATAAAAAGAGGGTCGAGGTCTAAACCTGAATCCTTTGTGAACACCCATAAACATTATCCTGAAGTTAATGGTACAACATATGCAGGAAGATTACACACATGAAATGTCAGCAGTTTTACCAGGACTGTCCGTGCTGCAAGTGAATAGAATGACGCACCTTCTTGTTTATCAATGATGTGCTCCAAAACATCTTCATCGGGTACAAACTGAACCTGCAGGGTTTTCTTCCCTTTATCTGTATCATGGCTCATGTCTTCTGCTCTGTAACAGAAATCAGGAAACTATTCTATTACAATCACTGAGTAAATGTGGTCATGAGAATAGCTAACAATAAAGACAATGGTAAAAAGGGCAATAACATGGTAATAACACTAACCAGGAACTCCAAGTAAATATTAGGAAATATTATCTGTCATATTGCAGTAGAATTAGTCTATTATGTCTGGAACTCTTTACCCCAACCTGTCCGACTATCTCCCACCTTGACTGCCTTTAGGCGTTCCCTAAAGACTCATCTCTTCAGGGAAGCTTATCCCACCTCAACCTAACTGCTCAACCATCAAGTTGTCAAACATTTCATCCCCACACAACTACCTCCTCGTGTATCACTTCCCCCTCCCTTTTAGATTGTAAGCCCTCAGGGGCAGGGCCCTCCTTACCATCTTGTCTTGAGTTGTATTGCGATTGTAATGTCTTCCTTGTATTGTAAAGCGCTGCACAAACTGTTGGCGCTATATAAATACTATGTAATAATAATATAAGGTCAATGATGTCACTGGCATCCCGCCCCTTTGTTTACATGCAGGGAATGCCCCGGCCACAGCTGACTGACACAACACTGACAGCTTCCTTCCAGTTTTAGAAGTGTTTGGGTTCAGTCCAAACCTGAGCTCATCCCTCATGGCCAGCTGTAGACAGATTTCCCTTAATTCCTGTTTGGTAAAATGTCAGCAGGACAGGAAGTGAGAAGAAATCTCCAACTGCGACTCAAACAAAACAAGTTTTTAGAGTTTTAGAGGCATAAAGTTGTTATTACCGGTTTAGATTTTCCATCACTTCCTGCGCAGTAAAGTGTTACTTACCAGGACAGAAAGTAATGGAAGATCTCTCTAAGGCTCTCACACCTACGGGTTTTTCACTGATATCAACGGTAATGCATTCCAACGTGCATTAATGCAAGCTCCAATGCACTATTTATTGAATGTTAACACACGCCACAATGCACATCAATGTGAGCTCATGCACATCATGATGTGTTTATGTACATCACTTCTTAAGACATGCATTTTGATTCATTTCCGTTGATTTTAAAGGGAAATATTCAAGCAAAAATGCAAAGGTGTGAATCAAATCTAACAGAGCCCTGGATGACAGTAAAAACCTGACAGGGCTTCTAATCTTTTCCCTCTCTGTCCAAAACAACAAAAACGTGTTGTTTTGACTGAACTCCAGGTAAAATGAAGCTACCATTGCAGTGGAGCTGCATACCCCATACCCCCTTCCCTGCACTACACGGGTAAACAGTGCATTTGGTCTAGGGCAGGGGTGGGCACACTCTGACGCTCCAGCTGTGATGAAACTACAAATGCCATCATGCATCTGACTCTGGGAGTCATGCCTGTGGCTGTGAGAATGTTGCAATGCCTCATGGGATTTGTAGTTCAACAACAGCTGGCACTGCAAGGGTAACATCTGATTTCACGTGGAGTTGAGCTTTAAACGTCCAGCAAGGAAAATTGAACTGAGAAAGTCTCCAAGCTGACTGAGCGTTCCTGGAAACACATTACAGCGCGTAGTAATAATGTGATGATATCTCGGCACCTATGAAATCACATCCTCACACCTGATCTTCGTCTATCATACAGGACACACAATAATGATCATGTGTAATCTACAGGAAGGTCCCACCCACTCCAGTCTTACCAACTCCGCTGTCTTCTCCCGCCAGCCGTCCGTCACTCCCGTAAAGTCCAAGCAGGGACAAGCTCAACCAATCATAGGGCAAGCGCTTGCCCTGAAGCCAATCAGCTATCAAGGTACACATTTTTAGCCAATAGGACGCGGAGAGCAGAAAGCGAAAGTGTCTAGCAGCACTGACGGCCAGTTTCACTGAGGGGAAGGCGGGGAGATGCATGTGACGTAAGCGAAGAAGCACGTGTGGCCGGTGGGTGTCGCCATATTTGCTGTGTGAAGTGGTCACTGGTGAGGTGAGCATCTTTATTGGAGTGCCGTGTAAAGCGGCCTGTCACCTCCATTAGCGGGCTCAGGCTGGTGGGACTTGTATGTTACTGGCCCCCTGGTTAATCCTTGACAGGTGTACAGCACACAGAAGTACTGTGTAATACAGAAGCTGGTAGCAGGACACAATCCCGGGGGATGTCACCCCCTTCATGCAATGTGTGCATCTAACTTGCACCTATAACATAACTAATTGGGTTAAGGTGTATATACACCAAGAACTTCAGGTTTGAATATAGTATGGCGAGGTTAACCCTGGTTCGCACCTGTGCAAAATTGTGTGCATTCTGACAGTGCACAGATGCGTTGCCATGATATCTGGGAATCATTCACACTGTTGTGTTGTGCTAAAAGCATGCTACCTGTGTGTTTAGTGCATGCTATCACACACAGCATGCAAGGTGCGTTGCCTGGCACCCCCCTGGTGGGCATGGGCTGTTCTGCAATGCACATGACTCCAATGTGACTGGGCCTTTATTCTTAGGGCTTGTTCCCACCACTATCCAGACATTCAGTGTGTGTTTCTGCATGTGAATTTACATGCATCTGTAATGCGTTGCAATTTATTTTTTTCATGTAACTACAAAATCCAGAGGAGCCCAATTAGGAAAGATTTTTTTCCCCTTCACTTGCATTTATGTGTGTTATATTTACATGTGTTCATGCTCATTCCGGTGCAGAAAAATGCATGCTGCTCTACATTTTTTTTTTTTTTTAAAGCACTGGAACTGAATACAATGGTGTGAACTAGAGTGATCAGAAACCATTGTTTTACTGTGCGTTTATAGAGCTCATCTGGTGTGAACAAGGCCCTAATGGCACCCTAAATACACCTGCCAAAGCAGGTGCATTGTAGCATGCCAAAATGCCTGGTCCAAAAGTACCAAGCCACAGCAAAACCAACACCTTTTATATACTCAGTGTGGGAAAAAACAATGTATGTCGTTATATTATGCCAACTCAATTGAATGCACTTGTGTTGAGACACGCCCAATGCACACTTTTTTTTTTGGTGTAAATGCACCCTTATCTACATTTTAAAATTAATTCCTCTGGGGGGCTGTCGCAAACAACTCAACACACAGGGGCCATGGGGAACACAAGTTGCCACCTTCCAGAAGGAAGGACAGTGTCAACATGAATTCGGAGATGATTTGAGGATCTGCAGCTGAGTGATACACAATTAAGACAAATTTTTGTTAATAGGGTATTCAAATGTATTTTTGAGATTTAACTCCTGAGTTTAGTGTCACTTTACATTTTGTATAGACAGTCCCAGAAAACCTGGGTGTGCTGATAGAAAACAGACCAGCTCTCATGACTGTCAGTTCTGGCCTGTCCTATTCCGCCCTTCGCATCTCACAGTTGGTTAGGAAGGAAAGTGAGGTGCAAGAGGGGATTAGCCAGCGCCAGCAACCGCTATGTGCATTCTTACACAGGGTATATACATGGTTACATTTACTGTTAAATACAAGTGTCTGTGAGTGAACAGAAAAAAAAAATGAAGGACATTTACAGTATAGCTCTCCCTTGCTAAGAAAGTACCACAACTTGCCACATAGTCCATTTCAGGTCTTCTAAAAAAACAACATCATTCACAAAAATCAGGGTTACGATGGGTGTCTCTGAGCAAGCAGTTGGGAAGTGTCAATACATTTTGGTGGATTATAGATTAATTTGGCATATACCTAAAACGACAGAACAGGACATTCTATGTTGATTTAATGTGTGTTCTTGAGGGGGTAATACTGTTCAAGGTATTGTTGGTGTGTCTATAAAGAATGTACATTTTTTAATATATGAGTTGATTTTGTTGTAGGAGCCCTAGTTCTATACAAGGCAATAGGAGGCTAGAAAAGAAAATTAGAAATTCGGTCTATCAAAACCGCCAAGATGATTTAAAGGAGAACTATTGGGTCAGGGCTTTTCCCCATAGTTCTCCTAAGGGTCACGGGAGAACACAAACTAGCGTTCTCCCGTGACCCAAAGCTCCACGGTATACTGAGATGCCGCAGCTGGGATGAATCCAGACAATACTGTCTGGATCCACCCAGCTGTGTGATTGATAGCTGGTTCTGCCTATCCAGAGGCAGAGCCAGCTGTATCCACCCCCTCCATCACTCGCCTCATAATTCTCCTTTAAGACGTTTCTTTACACTGGTGTTCATGGCTTTGGGTTGTCAACATGACCCACTAGAATGGTGTGTCTTTATTAATTCATTATTCAGGTTTTTTTTCTAGTTTATATTAAAGGTACACTCCAGTCAACATGCAAATGTGGCCTTAAGACTAAAGCTGGCCATACACTAGGCATCGTTTCTTGTTCAGGCCCAAGGGCTAAACCAGTATAATGCTTGATCATTCATGGTGGATGTGAGAATCATCCCTGCTGGGCTGCTGTAGTCTGACCTGTGACTGTCAGAATACCTGAAAGGTGACTTCCAGCTGATTGGCTGCAGTCACTTTTCGGCCCAGCCCCTTCAAGAGGAGTCTGAGCTTGTGAATGTTGGCCTGTGTGTTCCATACTGCTGGCATCTCCCCACCCCTTTGCATTAACTGCAGCCGTGCCCATATGATCTATTGACAGACTGAGTGGACCCTTTGACTAGCAGTATATTGATTTTATTTATCAGTTGGTTATATTGAAGAATTTTCTAATTACTCAACAGGTCACAACAAGTACAATGTCCGCTCCACTTGAACCCAGAGAGGCTGGTAAATTCATCACCGAGAACAGTAAGGATGTGTTTGTGGAACCCGATGGTGTGCGTTCTCTTGCTGAGAAGCTGTTTGAGAAGATTGGACGGAAGGAGATGACTCTGAAGGGATGGAAATCAATGCATGAACTCAACCCACAGGACTCTGGAGAAGATGCCGTGAACTGGGTGTTTTTTGCAGACACCTTAAATTTCTCCTTCTGGTCTGAACATGAAGATAAGAGGTTCTTGGTGAATTACAAAGGAAAAGAGTACAGTGGCTACTGGTCTTTCTGTGCTGCTATGAACAGAGCCTTGGATGAAGGTTTGTAGAGATGTTCCCCACAAATTAGCTGATCTGGCTCGGGTATAAGTAGAGAGAGTTCATATCCTGTCTTATAAAGCAAACTCAATACTATACACCCACTTGGTAGATATGTAGTAGCTTGGCCTTAGTCCTCTGTGGCACCCATGAGAATTGAAGACATCCAAATATAGTTCTGTGCAGCACAACGTTAAGGGGCCCATTTACATTTGTACTGTGCGATAATGCTTGTGCATTTATTTGCATTAAGGTAGTCCATTGAAATCACCGAAATGTCCCAAACATCAGACACGTCACACATTTTTGCTATTTGGTACATTGCAGTTCTGAAATAAACAACACCACAATGCATCAACACACGTGTGTGGCTGCAATGCATGTGTTCCTGCAATGCACACATGCAATTATGCAATTCAGCCTCCAAGCTTTAAAGTGACCCTGTCATCAAACATATGGGGGGGGGTGGCTGCTATGGGAGAACAAATTGGTGAGGGGGGTACAAGTTTAAAAAAAAAGAAAAGCTAACAAAGAAGCTACTACAGACATAATGGAGAGAAATGTGACAGAAGCTAATGCAGATAACTGATAAAGAGGTGTACACCACAGGGGTGTTTACTGTTGTGGGCAGTGCTGGTTGGGACACAGACACTAATAATAAAATTAATATGTCTACCAGGCATACTTGCTACTGGGTGAACAGTGTTTGTGCTGGGAACCTGTCGGCTTTGCAGTGCAAGACTCCAGTAGGGTCATATCTGAGAGGAGGCACATTTACTGTCCTGTTGAACTCCTGCTGATCCTACAGCAATGAAAAGTTATATCATCTCTTAATATTTACACATCCGGTGAGCAGATGGACAGGGCCATGAATAGCCTGATTACTCATGTTTGAGTTCCGCTGTATGCTCTTTTATTATTTATAGAAGATGAAGGCTAGCATAGGAAAATCTTTCAGTTAGGATAAATATTGCAGCTGTCTTGACAAAAAGCAGTAACTAAAATGACAGAGTAATGAAAGACACCATGCACTGTCTGTACAAGCTCTTTGTTTCTGGTTTTGGACTTGGACTGTGTGCCTTGGGAACCCCTGACCTTGGTGCAGATATTTGTAGGTAAATGCAAGCTTTTGATAAAAAGAGAATTGAAGCCAAACCTTTTATACATTTTTTTGGGGTGCTTTTCCTTTTCTTTTTTTTTCTGTAACCGAGGTACATTTGCGACAACCCCAATTCCATAAAAGTTGGGACTCTTTGTAAAATCTACATAAAAACAGAATGCAATTATTTGCAAATCTCATAAACCCATATTTTATTCACAATAGTAAATAGAAAACAGGGGAGAACATGTTGCAACTAATTATGTTAATTTGCAACAGGTCAGTAACATAATTGGGTATAAAAAAATCATTTTAGAGTGTCATAGTGTCTCAGAAATAAATCGGTGAAAAGGTGCTTCTAGAAATTTTCAAACAATTTCAGAATAATGTTCCTCCACATAAAATTGCAAAGACTTTAAATGTATCATCTACTGTGCATAATATCCTCAAAAGATTCAGAGAATCTAGAGAAATCTCTGTGAGCAAGGGTCCAAGCCGAAATGCAATATTGGATGCCTGTGATCTTCGGGTCCTCAGTTGGCACCGCATTAATACCAGGCATGCTTCTGTGATGGACATCACTGCAT